GCAGCAACGCGGAGAAATCGCCGTAGGCAAAGTGCAGGGCCAATTTCCTTTGCTCTTGTGAGGAGCATGCAGCCCGTCAACTTCGGCTACTGAGCTTGTCACACCTCGGAAATGAAGGTTTTGATCGGATAATACGATTTTCGAGAGATGCGATTTATTTTCTGGTTATATGCACGCAGAGGAGATCCTTTCAACGAGACTCCACTGAATGTCGCATCCCATTCACAGCCGAATAGCTTTTCTAAAATGGCAAGATCGAGTCGAGTGAAGATCCCGTTATCAAGAGTAGAGCGATAAGCTCAGCATCTGCGCACTTGATCGCTTCTTATCACCGCAAGTCCAAGAACATATCCCACACGAAAGGGAAAAAAAAAAGGCAGAGAGAGAAACATGATAAAATGGCACTTGACCTTTACATTTGGAAATGTAGAAGAACTTATCTTCGCACAAAAGCAATTACGTATCTGCTGAATTGAGATTAATTGGTGCAGAAATCGCTTGTTAGCTGGTTTTCTGATTACGCATCAAAGACGAAAAACTTGATTTTTAGACGAAGAAGCACTACAATGAACCTTCGCGTTAGGGATATCACCCTGTGAAGTCACGGTTCTGAGGTGTCAAAGTTATCGTATTAGATAATGCGCATAGTTAAGTGAAGTCAGTAAAAAACGCAATTTTCTTCCACACGACTGCGTTGATTGATTTATTTGTGGGGTTTAACGTCCCAAAACCACCATTTGATTATGAGAGACGCCGTAGTGGAGGGCTCCGGAAATTTTGACCACCTGGGGTTCTTTAACGTGCACCCAAATCTGAGCACACGGGCCTACAACATTTCCGCCTCCATCGGAAATGCAGCCGCCGCAGCCGGGATTTGAACCCGCGACCTGCGGGTCAGCAGCCGAGTACCTTAGCCACTAGACCACCGCGGCGGGGTCACACGACTGAGCGCAGTTTGCGCTTCTACACTGTCATCATACTGAATAGCAGCATTCGCCGAAGGCGGCAGGTAATTCATATATAGAAAAGAAACCACACCAAATAACATCTGTCTGCCACAAAAATCACGTAGACAGCCCAACAATAAAAAGTGCAAACATTATTGTGCGACGTTCCCGAACTCTCAAGAACCAATAGAAATAAGTCCAAAGGTTTAAATCACAAAAATATGACTAAAGGAAATAAACTTTCGTCACCAGCCGACAGTCAACAGGCTAACATCTTTATACTTTTGGTCGCTGTCGTCTTCAGCTCTTAAACAAACAACCTTGTTCTGCACACATGCGCAGTCAAGTCAATTAACAGGTACGCCGTTTCACCTGTCCGAACTACCTTGTGACATGTCCCGACGTTTGTTTATATTTCGACAGACGTCGTAATGGTCGAATTCGTTAACTGTGACCACCAAGGATTCGTTAACGTTTGAACCCCGTCGCAATCCATCTGCCGCAGCCTGCAATCGAACCCGAGTTCTCCAGCTTTGCCGCGCAATGCCATAGTCGCTAACAGCGGGTCGCAACGTCAACAAAACATGGTCATGAAACACAAATCACCCCCCCCCCACACACACACACACACACCACACACACACATTTTCATTGTTAGTTTTGTCTACCAGTAAGGAAAAGAACGTAAATAAAAGAGAGGGTCAGCCGTACCACCAAGAGGCTTAACGGGTTGAAGTCAACTGAAGATAAATGAAAAGGGGCATCTCCCAAGCGCATAATTTCAAGCGGAAGCAAATTGTTGAGGGAAGATAAAAAAATATATTCTGAGCGGTTTGATACATACGAATTTCCATGCGACCGTAGAGTGTGCATGATTCGTACAAGGAAAAAAAAAAAACACAGCCAGCCCAACATGGCGGCACTCAAAAGCTCTCGTAGTGGACTCAGGCAAACTTAAAGAGACCGCGAAATGGTGAATAAACTGCCCATAAACTCGATTGGATATAAGGGTCGAAGAAAGACGGAGGCGAAAATGCTTGGTGTCCGTGTACTGAAGATTTAGGTGCAGGTTCAAAGAGCCCCAGGTGTATGGTCGAAATTTCCGGAGTCCTCCACTCCACTCATGATCATATCGTGGTTTTGGGACGTTAAACCCCAACATTTCTTTACAGAAGGCAAATGAATTTAATACTGAGATTAGGTTGCGTATCTCCTGTCTGCGCAGAAGCTCACAAATCAAACATGATCAAAAACAGTATACGCACCTCACGCGCCTTCTCATCTATCGAAAACGCGATTACAGGGTATATCAACAACAATGACAAGGTTATATCAAACGGAATAGACAAGGTATAGCATCGCTGCGACAAATAATCGCATTATCCGACCATGAAGACCTCAAAGGGTAAGTGTTTCCAATTCCCAGAAGCGATATCAGTGCCGTTCAGCTACGGAATGCTGTAGTACTATCGACAAGTACCACTGACCCAGTGGACGAGTTGGTACATCACATGATGATGATGTTATTTGGGTCGGGAAAATTTTCTTCAAGCTATTCCTTCAAGCTAGCTTCCTTCAAGTATTCCTTCAAGCTACCTAAGCGCTCATACTGTCGCCTATCTTGCTTGCTTATGTCTCTCTTCCTTCCTGCTCAAAATGAGATGCGCCCAGTGGAAGCTACAAACACAGCACACAAGGAGTTCACGCGAACCTCGCTCGAGTCGATTACTCGGTCTCAACAAAAACTGCCGGTCAACGTCACGCGACGGATGCTGGACGTTTCCCTGGACGCAGTCCAAAGAAATGAGTTCAATTCGACAACGCTGTCGAGTCGGGTTCTGTTATCTCGCACTGGCATCCTTTCTTGGGCAGGTCGGGTCGTGTTCAAATGTTTACACGAATAGCAACGTTCACCAAAGGAACGCTAGATGAGCTGGTTAACTACACTTCATTCAAAGCTTCAACCCAAAATGACCCGTGGGTTGACCAGCTAATAGTTAACCAGTCGACTTATACCAGTGAGTGCCTGCTGAATATACACTTTTGAAATGCCGGCGCTTCATGTGTGCTGTCCCAACAAAGCTCATCATACGGGAGGCTCTCCACGCATTTTTATTCCTTCTAACCACTTTCTTTTTTTTTTTTCGTCTTTTTCGTACAGTCCGCACTGCCAACGCAAGGTCTGCCGTGCGATAAGTCGGTCGTTACACCAACGCAGGCGGAAGAATCCGCGGTCGCCACCGCAGCCCAGACGACGACGAGACAGTTTCGGCCTTAAACTAAGCGAGCTTTCGTTTTTCCGCATTGACGTTATAAATGAAACAGGAGTAGGCAGCCGATACATCTGCGCCACTCTCACCAGCTGATAAATGGGGGCAAGACGGGCCGCTGCTTCCTCCTTATTCAAAACTTTGACTCGAAATAGAAATGACCGCAGATTACCAGCCGCACAAAGGGTTTCTCCTATCGCGTATCTTTCCCTGGCAAATACAAAAAGAAAATTATATTCGCTTTGGATTTAGAATTGAACTGCACAAAGCTGGAACTAACGATCACAAAGAAGCACTAACTATGTTTGCACCAGAACCTGTTAGGAATTGAAAACAGCAGCAGTTTGTTTTCTCCCTCTCTGATTTAAGCAGAAGCCGTCATCTTGTCTTGCATCAGCATTTCATGCCGTAAACATTACCATGTCGACAGGAGGCCCGACTAAAGTGGTTAATAAAATAATAACAGAGGCGCTGCGATTGTGTCAGCACACACGTGGCATTCGAGCCTCCGATTGTCGTTTCCTAACGGCCCCGAACAATTCCGATTTCTATTAGGAACAGTAGAAAACAGGTGAACCATCCAGCAGAAACATATCACTAATAAATAATATCCATGTGGCGGAGGGCTTCTGCGATGCATGCATTTGATTTGCGATCTCTTGTTTTATCTCCCTTTTTATGTACGCTGCGCTGAAGGAATGAACGATATGGTAAAAAGTCTCGGTCAGTAGAGATTATCAACAATTATCGCTCCCACTTATCTCGCCAGTACAAAACAGAAAGTTTCATCCAGCAGTACTACATATCACAAATAAATAATGTCCGTGTGGCTTGCGGAGGGCTTCTGCGATGCATGCATCTTATTTGCGATCTCTTGTTTTGTCTCCCTTATTATGTACGCTGCGCTGAAGGAATGAACGATACGGTAAAAAGTCTCGACAGCAGAGATTATCAACAGTTATCGCTCCCGCTTACCTCGCCAGTGCAAAACAGAAAGTTTCCACGGCGCAAAGGAGGGAAACATTGGAGGAGAGCGACCAGCTGAGCTGTTCGATATCGTGTCGGCTTGCGTCACAGTCGTCGATCACAAGAGCGACACAATGCAAGGCTTTCATTGCGAAAGCACAGAAGCCAGCCTGTTTGCCTCTTAAAAAATCACGGCGGCTGCGATGCTATTTCTGGGTTAAAACACTAGCGATTTCAATTAGACGAAGTTAGGCAACCATTCTACTTTAGCTTTTAGTTCTGTACCTGCGCGTATACAGTCAGATGAACGAAGAAAAAGTACGCCACGGCAAAGTAGTTCTATGTGGGCAGCAGCGCTTGCAAGGACTGTCGATATATAGCGCTTATATAGTGTATAATGTGTTAGTATACTTTTGTGCTACGGTACCTCGGACTGATGGGACACACACATTACAGCAGCACGACCAGCTGGAATGAGCTAAGGCGACTTGGCCCAAAACAAACACCCCGGATTTGTCGTATCGATGCTGAAGCTGCCACTGTCCAATTATAAACGCACAGGGGTGCCCTTGACGACGTTTCGGACACGTTTTTTTGCTACATGTGCGAAATGGAGGCGGCTAGAACAAGAAAAAGAATAAGTGAGAATTGCGCCTGCGAGTCCCGTAGCGACGTAGTCGGGGCAACGCCTAGCAGGTACGGGTAACCGATACGGAGAATCAATGAAAAAAATTTCTGTCGCTCGCGCACGACGCGTTCGGCCGTTAGGAAAGCTCGAGGGCGCCTTTAGAAATACAACAAAGTGCACGAAACTTACCGCTATCGAGAGACAATCCTCCGATCCCGAGGGAAACTTCACGATGAACTTGCTGCCGGCACGCTCTTCGGCATCATTGAGCGGCCTGAATCGGCAGACGACTTTGATGTTGCACTCGGCCGGAGGTGCCTCCGGCACGTTAGGTGCTTGCTGCATGGTCGCACTTTTTTTTTTTTTTCCTACAGATACACACAGCTGAGAACTAGATTCTAAAGAGCATGACCGCACGATGCTCGCAGCGTATCGATCCCAGCAGCTTTAGGCCTACGCGACAGTCTCCATGATCCGCACGGGCTACGCACGTCAGCTGAACATCTGGCCGGTTAGCGGTCGCCCAGGGAGCCCGGAGAAGTCGTGCAGCGGCGAAGCACAATGGCTGAGCACGGCCGACGGGTATGTCTTGAGCACGGCATCCAAAGAGGGAAGAACAAAGGGAATGACCACAGCACTGGGCAATCACTGGAAACGTCGACCGGCCATGCTCAGCCAGCCGCGAGGGGTAGGATGGGAGTCGCTCGAGATGACGTCAGAGCCCGTAGGGATCGCCGACGCCGCTCGACGCGCCGACTCAGTGCCATCTGTGCTCGAACGGCCGAGTTAACGGCGGCACCTCGCTTCACGGCGGCTACTTCAACGGGAGTGCGAATTGCTTAGATTAAAAACTGTAGTATCGTCACACCAATACCACAAAAACGTATTCATCCCACAGATTAGACGCGCCGGTGATTAAACTACAGGTCTCAAAACAGCGTCCAGATACACAGCTGTGCTTCGTATAGCCAGGCTAAGCGTGGCTTCGAATGAATCTGATATTTGCGATGAAAAAACAAGTACATGCGGAGGGTGGAAAACGGCCTTACATTGAATAAACATGAGAACAGCACTTGCTACCCTGGAGCCGCAACAGCAGTTACGACACCAGAATCTGAGAGCAGCGCTTTTCAACACCCAAATTATGATTCATTTGACTGGTGAAGTAGGTGCCTCGAAACGAAAGCGCTTGAATTAACGTACAACGGTGCATATGTACGTTTTTATTCTACGATACAATAACGCGCTATCTTGTGTTAAGACTTATACGTGTACGAACACACATTTTTGTGTACAGTTTCTTTCAATGATAAAAGTTATAAGAGTGGAGAACGCGAGGCACATTGCCTTTTTTTTTTTTTAACGCTTGCCACCGGGACGCTTAAGCACCACGGATGGGAAGCGCAATATGATTATTTGCTAAGAAGGTGCATGTCGTACAAATTTCGTCACTAGCTTTGTCACGGGAGGGATGTTTCCGCCGGACGTAAAGCTGCGATACCGTAATGGAGCACAAATGCACTTGTTTGTATGACTATGTATACCACCATCAGATATAATATGCAAAGAAAAATAGGTGCGCAATAGTATGTGAACGCTTCCAAGTTCTTAATACAAATAATTTGTTCCCACGCTCTACTAAAATGTAAATTAACAAATATAGTAGTTAGTACTACGAAACACGCTAAGTATTAGTTGCTGATATATCCCAGCCTCACCCAGCATCCTCCTAAAAAACAACGCGTTTGCATGCCGTACACATCCATAGTCGTTTTACGAAATTTGGCATAGCATATGAAGATATCTTGTGCTCTTGTGCACACCACAAGTGGATGTACATGTGTGTGGAATCCAAAGTTCCTAGGACACGCTGCCATAAGAATACATGGGATAGTGGCCTGGGAACGTTTGACCAGCACTGTTGATTTGATTGATATGTGGGGTGTAACGTCCCGAAACCACCATGTGATAATGAGAGACGCCGTAGTGGTGGGCTCCGGAAATTTCGACCACCTGGGGTTCTATAACGTGCTCTCAAATCTGAGCAGATGGGCCTGAAGCCTTTTCACCTTCATCAAAAATGCAGCCACCACAGCCCGGATTCGATCTGCGGACCAGCACATTACCTATGTGGTGCGAGCACAAGCCCTTCGCTGCGTGGACTTCCTAAGCCACGGACAACACGTAGGCTGATGAAGCCAAGGCAGGATTATGCGAAGGAAGCATTTTAGAACGGATGGTTCATTCAATCAAACGTTGCAATTCAGTTCAATACGCGTGACCTGATAGAGTCGAGTTACTCTTGTCCGCTGCTCTCACGTTTAGCACCGAAGTTATGGGGTGAAGACAGCAATCGAGATATCGCACGTTGAGAAGCCTCAAGCAAACCTCGTGCGCGAGACTTTCGCGAGGCTTTGCGAGATTTTGAGAGACCCCGTGAGGCTGCCACCCCAGCCCCGTCCAGAGACACACGTGAACTTTTTTGAGGAGGGAGTAGGTGATAAATAACGATAACTTGTGACTTGTAACGTCACATGACGATGATGTCAATCGGTCAAAGGTGGGTCGATTTAGGAAGCAGTGAAAAAAAATCACGTTGAAGTCTTTTGTTCTCAAAGATTACACAGTGGAGAGTGTACAACCTGCCGCTGCTTGTTCCTGTCTTCAACAATGAATGAATGAATGAATGAATGTTGCCAGCTTCTCACTAGTGCAGCCAAGCCTGAAAGGAGAGCAGAGCTGAATGGCCTTCCTTGTTTCTTTTCATTTTTTTTTCTCTCTGTCGCTCTGTCTCTTACATCTCTTCATAGGCATGTGCACGGGGGGGGGGGGGGGGGTCAAGGTAGGTGGCCGCGCTTCCCTCCCTAGTCACCTAGCCAAGAGGGGGGCGCAAGACATCCCTGTCCATTGACATAATAGGGAGGAGGAGCGCAGTGTCAACCCCATACACTTGGAGGCACTGAGACGAACCTTCGCCACCCTGCGCGCATCTGTTCCTCGTACCTGTTGCTTTCTATATGCGTTTTTAGGGGCGAAGCTTCTTAGGGTGTGGGTCTGTCCATCCTCCGATGGTGTGTGTAGCCACCGGTGGCACATGCCCGAAAGAGCGGTCCTTAGAATGCCTGCTGGATGGCGGCACTTGTATATGATGAGTATATGATGAAAAGATGTGAGATTGTTGTACTTGGAGTGTTCACTAGATAGACGGATGGACATACAGATAGACGGACGGACTAATGGATGCACAGACAGACAGAGGGGCGGACGCATGGAGGGGTGGATGGACGGACAGACGGACGCACGAACAGACACACGGACATACGGACGAATGCACCGACGGTCACACGGACTGACGCACGGACGGACACATGAACAGACGCACGGATGGACGCGTGGACGGGCGGAAGCAAGAACAAATGTGTGGACGAAAGCACGGACGGACGGACGAACGCTTCGCCTCACCAATCATCATTCACTCCATGGACATGCTGTGATTTTTTTTCTATATCATAGTTTATCTTTCTTTCTCTCCGTATTTCTATCTTTTGATGTGATTATTCTCTTTTATGTCTGTCCATTTTTTCCTGTCTACTGATTGCTACATTTCTGTCTCTACCTTTTCTGTCGCTCTCTTTCACGCGTTTCACGAGCTCTACTTCACCTAGAAGAGCTTTCCTGGCAACGCTCACCCACTGCTACTGCTAGTTCCAATATCGCAGGCATAGGCTTATCAGCCGGGGGCGGCAAGGGGGACGCATCCCCCCCCCCACTGAGAAAAGTTGGGGAGGGGGGCTGAGCCCCCCACTTTCGACAATGGTCACTCTTGGCGGCAGGCTGGGGAAACAAACAAGTAAGGCGTAGTTTACCATCACAACAGTAGTCACTCAAGCATGTTCTTACGGAAGAATGAAATTGTTACGAGGCTATGTTACAACATAGTGAAATGATATATATATATATATATATATATATATATATATATATATCGGCTGACCACTGGTTTCGCAGGTAATGGGGCTTACCCAATTTGAGTGGCTCATACCCAGCAGTGCCTCCATGGACATTGACTAAACCACTGGTGTGCCTTTACATACGTGGAATGTCGTATAAGTCACGTGTTTCTTATATTGCCCTCAAGCAACTCACCTTGGCACATTTAGATGACCGATACAGCGACTCTGTGCACATTTACACCGATGGATCTGTAACTACATCCGCCTCAGCTGCAACCTTCGTGATCCCTCAACTCGGTATTTCCCGACAGTACAAATTAGATCACAGGTCATCTTCGACAGCTGCAGAACTTGTTGCTATACAAGAAGCCATAAAATTTGTGAACGACAAAGTACCGCGTAAATGGACGATTCTGTCTGATGCAAAATCAGCGCTTCAAGCTATCCATTCTTGCTCAAGAAGAGGCCAATCTTACGAGTTAGCGTTAGGAATCGTCCAAGCATTTGACCTAACACACAGGAGTGGTCACTTGATTACCATAAATTCACATAAAAAACAGCGCCAAAAACGAGAGAAAAACTCGCCCAAGCAACCACGTTAGCACTTGATTACACTCCAATGGATTCCTGGACACTGCGGCCTGGTTGGCAACGAAACAGCCGATAGCGAAGCAAGAGCGGCAGTATACAACGCTCCTATGTACGTCAAAGTACCGTATTCGCGAAGTGACGTCAACACATTGTTGAGATAACTCATGCGCGAATGCGCTGCCACTTACTGGTCGCTACCAGATCACCGGAACAAGCGCCTGCGGGAAACAAACCCCGGTATGACTTTTCATCTTCCAGCCAAAATCAGCCGAGGACATGCTAATTTACTGCACCGGATTCGCCCGGGCGTCGCCTTCACTCGCCACTACACCCACCTAATCGGCCGTGCGGACAGCCCGAATTGTGAACGCTGCCAAGTGCGCGAAACGATAGCTCACATATTTTGTTACTGTGCATTATACGTGGCGCAAAGAAAAATGCTAACTGCAACGTTGGCAAGCACCGGACGAACACCATTAAGTGAAAGCCACATATTGTCAGCAACGAACGACCAAACCGTGTAAAAAACTGCTACAAAGGCTGTTCTAGACTTTATAAAAAGCACTGGACTAGAAACTAGACTGTAGGGTACTATGCTAAGTGGCTACTGTACATACGCACCACCTCTTCTTGTCCCCATCATCACCCTTCATCCCTCTTTCCTTCCCCTTTCCCTTATCCCCTGTGTAGAGTAGCAGGCTAGAGCGAACTAGCTCAGGCCGACCTCTCTGCCTTCTAATAAATTCTCACTCAAAAAAAGAGGCAAATATTAAGTTGACTTTGATTGTGGAAATAGCGCTCCACAAAGGTTTGCAGTGGAACATTTGGGCCAAGAAAGCGCTTATTTCGAAATAAAATCCCTAATGTTCCGCATCGCGTTAGTCCTCTACGTACAGCGCACACGTGCGGTAGTGCTTCTACGCCCAATAATGCCGTCGTTCATCGGCGGGAGCGCCGGAGAATAGCGGAGGGGTCAGAACAAGGCCTGTAGACAGCTCGCAGAAGCAGCAACCAGCCGTACTGCAGCAGCAGCAGCAGCAGCAGCAAGTGAGCGTCTGCTGGGCAGCTGAGCCACGTTCCGATTCGGTAAATTCGAACAACGCGCTAAATTAAAAACGACGTATGTCGTGACAATTTTTGTGACGTCAC